GCTCCTGCTCCTGCTCCTGCTCCTGCTCCTGCTCCTGCTCCTGCTCCTGCTCCTGCTCCTGCTCCTGCTCCTGCTCCTGCTCCTGCTACTCCTACTCCTACTCCTACTCCTACTCCTACTCCTATTCCTACTACTCTGACTACTGACTGCTGATTACTTACATTGAAAAGAAGACTAACACTTGGACTACCGCGCACACCAGCATTAACACCAACACGAACATCAACATTGACACTAGCACTAACACTTACTCGACACTAGTACCACTGCTAATACAAACACAAATACTAATACGAAGACTCCGACTCCAACTCTCTGGGAGTGCTCCAGGTCCTGGCAGCTTTGGTTCCCTTCGGTGGGTCTGGGGCCCGGCGGCGAGCTCTTCTGGAAGTTTGGCGAACAATTATGCGTTGGTAAAATGACGGTTGTGGGGGCCCGGAGCTACGACGATGGCTTTGTGAGAATTTTGGTGGGCTTCTAACCTTGATGTCCTACTGGCAGACTCTCATGTGGCCCTCACAAACTCGCCTGTAGGCCCGAGCCTCAAGCCCGTGACCCTGCGCAGTTTTGGGATGAACCTGCACTCCAAGCCCTAGACCCGAACAAAAGAGCTTTCGCCCACCTATATACAACCCATGTAGCAGCCTTCAGAGAAGACCAGGTGTTTGCAATGCATAGGTTTTAGGAGGGCGTTGCAAGGACTGTGGCATTAGGGAATATTAGGGAGGTGTCCAGGGCTTTATACAGTAGGGAACGTACCTTCAAGTGCAAAGTCTCCTTAACCGGTTTTGAGGGGTAGTGCGTCCATTGCGGTTCTTGTATACTTGGCGTCAAGCGCCGAGTTCTACGGGTTTAAACCACGAGTTATTCCCTCATAGTCCTTGCACACATATACTATGACATGCCCCCGGACCCTCTTCTAATAATTAAGTCCTCTAGGTGACTTTCATCAAGGGTGCTCCCAGCCTATTGTGTCACTCACTATTTGCACAGGCATGTTTGCGGGAAAGTGTCGTCTGCTTCAGCACCTTCAGCAGCCCGTGGTCCAGGATGGCCTTGTGAAGTTTGCGCGAAGGAACGCAAGCCTTGGATTCAGTGAGTTTTGTCGCTGAAGATGGCGGATCTTGCGAGAGGAAGCTGGCAGAAGCAGCATCGCTCAGCCTGAGCTCGCTGTCACGGCATTGACATTCAACTCGTCGCATGTCAACAGCGAGTTCGAGTCAGCGGTAGCCGGATGAGAATCAGAAGTAGAGATGCACTCTGACTCAGCGGAGCCCGCAGCCTCTGTTCCAAACCTGCACCTCGACCGTAGCAAGCCCTCAGCAGAAGCCCCGCTCTCAAATTCAAAACCCATCAAAGCTTTACGGCGTGACACCTGGACCTACACCCTACACCAGGTGTTTCGGCTCTGTCGCTGAACGGAAAGGACTTCCTTTGACTCCCAGCACAATGGGGCTTTTCGACTGGTTGATACATTTAGGTGATCGGTGTTTCGGGCATTTCGAGCTTCAAGGACCCAAGGGCTTCGGACATTTGGATCTGGGCCCTGGGTGCTTCCCTTTCACTTCAGAGGTCCTCTCAAGTCCAGGCCTACGTCCTAGTCGAGACTCTGAGCAGGAAGATGCTTGCATAGTTTAGAAGGCATGTCTGGGATGGACGCTGAGGCTCCTAAACCCACCCTACGATCCCAGACCCTCCAATGCATGCCGCGCATCAAATCTCATGCTTCCTGTCACTTTCAACGCTTTCCATGGCCAGCGGCCAGTCCCTTTTTATTCACACCCGCCAGCCACACTACAGAAGCGCACGCACCATTGCAACAGCAAGTGCGCACAGACAAAAATATCTGGTTTGGAGATGCTGTATGCCCTCACAGACCGAGTCTTTTGTCGAACCTGGGTTTGAGACACCGTGCAGCTCGGACAGATTCCAGACAGCATTTTTACGAACGTACGAATCTCTTCGGCTTAAGCTCCTAACCCCGATCTCCGAGAGCCGACAGAGAAGAAAGGATCTACAAGAACGCCAAGTTCTATAGCCACAACGGCAAGATTAACAGTGACATCAGAAAACCACAGCTGTCTGTCAGGAGAATTGGAGACGGCGAGCTCTTCACGCGGCTCCGGGGAAACACAGGTTAATGACGGTTAATGAGCTCAAGTAGGCCATTCCCCTCCGTGGTGATTTGTGAATCTCGTGGCAAACGTGCTGTTTTGTGCCAGGGAACTCAGCAACTAGGATTTCCCGGGAAGCATTGAGATTTTGAGCTTCTTGCATTGCTGACCCGAGCTTCATTAGGTCCCCTTCCGCTATGTCTAAAGCTTCAAAGCCTGAAGCCGAAGTCCTCGCCTTTGCCGCTGCACATTTATTAGGAAGTCTCGCCCGAGCCCCAAAACTTACGCCCGAAGCCCCCTGCCTTAACCCGACAAACGGTAGACCTGAACCGACAACTCCAAAGGTGAAAACCGCAAGCCCTAAGCCTTCAGATCAGCGTGATTGTACCGCCAAACAAACCCACAGGCCTCAAATCCCTCAAATCCCGAGTAGTTATTGTATAATATACCACAAGGAACCCTATTCCAATTATTAAGGCCCCTATATTATGTTGGGTTGAGATGCTTCGACGAGATTCCCACCTTGGAGGTTTCAGTTTTGCGGGGCTTCCATTTTTGAGGCCCCGCCTGCACGAGACCCTGGGTTCTTGTCAAGGAGGTCGCTCAATCAATGTTGGCTTATTTCTGATGCGTCGGCATGGTAAATTTTCGACTGGTTTCTTTCTCTACTACATATGATATCTTCTACTAAATCCTTTAACAAGAACCCGGTGCGATTCGCTTCGAATCAGAGCTTGGTCGGTCGACAGACAGACGGAAAAGGCTGCTTAAGTTTCAAGCTTTGAATGCCTGATCAGCTGCTAAGACCTCTGCCTAGAATGCAAGGTTGGGGTTCAGGATTTATGACTTCAGCTTTCGCTTCTACGGTTCATAAAGCTTCAGGGCTTTTCAGGGTCGAGGTCCTCGAGCCTCGAGCTGCCCTGGCTACTGGGAGGCACTTTTTTTGGTTTGGAGATGCCCGAATGCAGAATGGACACTTCTTCATCTGGAGCCGAGGTGTCTGCGACAACTCCGCACCTTGGATCGGCGTCAGCAACTACGGGGCCGTTTCCAGAGCCCTAATGACACAGACCTTGTTGTTTAGCCTCGTTCTCACGAGGGTGCTGAATTGTGAGGGGTATCGTCGGATCTTCCTGCATATGTTTCGAGTACAACACCCCGAACATCGCAGTTCATTGGTTGAGTTCAGGGTGTTGGCAGAAGGTCTGGATAACGGCAGCTTGGTACTTGCTTCAGGGGGCGTGGGTTTCCCACAAGACGCGATTTTTTGGAGAATCGACTTGCTGTTGCTTTGATTTCTTTTGGATCCACCCAACGCACCGCCCTACAAACCCGAAAGCCCGCAAAAGCCCTGTACTACACACCCCCCCCCCTGTGACTCTATGCCCGAAACCGAGAGCCCGAAGCCTGCAAAAAGCCCCTAATTAAGACCCCCCCTTCTTTTCTTAGCATCCAGGGGCCTTTGCGTTTGAGGGTGAAGGATCGGGCTCCTCCCCGGTTTTAGTGCGACCTCCTGCAAGAAGCCTTTTCACGCCCTTCATAGCCCTTTGGTAAGACCTCTAGGAAACCTTTCTATAGATCCTTATGATAGGGTTTAGGGTTTCGGGTTTGGGGCAGCGCATTGACACCAAACTTCGCGACCCGACGACCGCAGCCGGTTTCCACCACCCATGCGGAGTGGGCGGGGAGAACCATGGCCTCGGCCATTGGGGCGGAAGGCAGTCTTAGCTTTAGGGAGTGCAGAGCCTCTTTGTTGAGGTGTTTTGGCGGGGTGCCATATATCCAGGCTCCTGGGTTTCAGGTTCGCTCGGTAGTAACACTTTGTACTGGCGCACAAGGTTCAGAAAATTGGAGACTCAGAGAGCTGAGTAGTACAGGGGGCCCCGTCATATCTGCTTGCTACCAGTACTATTCCTGAAGATTCTGAGAGAGAAATAAGCTTAAATCATGCACCTCAACTCCCTCTTCAAGTTATATCAAGGCAGGTTAGCATCACCAGCGTAAGCCCTAAGCCGAGAGGCTTGGAGGCCTCCACTGAGCCCCCGACGCTACGGAGAAGTTCGAAGGCCGCTTCTTCTTGGGGTCTTCGCTTTCGGCCCATATGATCGATTCTGGTAAGAGCAATATGTGTTTTGCCGTGCCTGTCGCTACTCTTACTCAGTGACTTGATTCTGGTTCGGTTTTTTGGCATCATGCTTGTCAACCGTGGGATATCTGTTGATGTTCATTTGGTTAGTACTGTTCTTGCCACGGATAACAATTTATGGTCATGTTGAGTATGAACAGCTGGTCATTGCTCTTAGCGTCACCTGTTTAAGGCATTTTGTCACTGAGCGGCCTGATAAGTTTGCGACTCCGAATGACCACAATTTCGTTCTGCATGCATGCGTGCATGCATGGTGTTTGTGTTTGTGTGTGTGTAGGGTGTGTGTGTGTGTGGATTATATGTTTTGCCATGTTCTGCTATGACATACTCTGCTCTGCTTTGCTCTTCTGTGCTACGTGCCGTGTAATGCCATGGCCTGGCCTGACCTGGTCTCATGTGATGTTGTTTGGTGTGTGCGTCGTGTGTGCATGCATGGATGGACGTACATCTGCATGCATGGCTATCCGTCCGTCCGTCCGTCTGTTTGTCTGATTATATGGGTTACTGCTAAAGGCTTCGGATTTAATCCGGTTCAGGGTTTGCGGTTTCCAAGCATTCAGGGTTCATGGCGGTTGAGAGTTCGGGTTTTTGAAGGTTTCAGGCTTGGTGTTTCGAGTTGAGGAATCTGAGGATTAGGGACTCGGAGGTTCCGTGGAATAGCGGTCGGGGGCCGCAAATTTCGACGTTCGGGAGCTAGGATTGACGACCTGGGGTACAGGGTTGAGGGCTCCAGCGTTTCAACTCAATGGCTTAAGGTTTCAAGGGGTATGAGAGGGTTGAGGGTTTACATGTGAGTGCATGTGTGTGTGTGTGTGCACGCGCGTATACCACATACACACCGTACTAGTACATTAGTTTACATATTCATTTCACTGTCAACGTGCATGTGCATTTTCCAGCGGCTTCAGCGGTGTCTTTGGGGCATCCAGTGTTTCGATTCCGCACTGACGTTATACACCCCTGGTGCGACCGGCATCGGACAGGCTGCGAAAGAAATGTTTCAAGCCTGGAGACTCATGGCTTCAAGCCCCAAAGCCTTAGGTCATGGACTTGCCACAAGCTTAGGGCCAAATTGGCTTAAAAACGCTTACGGGGCCTTCAACCCTTATCCCAAGATTTCTAGCACCACAGAAGCCCACCCACAGAGGTGGAGGTCACCTATACCCTCTACTTGCCAAGCCTCTCAGAACCCCTGGCAAGTGTCTATCAGGACCTCTAATAGGGTGCTTCGGGTGCACAACCTCGAGCACCCCCCCCAAAACACCCCCTAAACCCGATTCTTGCCCGGCATATAGTCCGAGAGTGAACGTCAGAACTCCATTCTTCCGAAACTCTTCGAGCCGGAACCCTCAAAGCACCCCAAACAAAACCCCCCAAAACCCTAACCTAAACCCTAAACCGTCCCCTGAACCCTAACAAAGGGCCCTAACAAAGGGCCGTTAAAGAGGGGCCCTGAATCCGAAACTCCAGGGCTCTTCTGGCCCAAGCTCACCCCTCGGCTCCCCGAGCACTTCCAAACGGAAAGCCAGGAGCTGGGGGTATAAAGAGTTGTTTGTTTTAAAAATGTTTTTTTAGGGTTTTTTTTTTACGGGTTGTGTTAGGGGTTTGGGATGATTAGGGGGTTTATGGGTTTTAGAGGTTTTTGGTTTTAGGGGTTTTTAGGGTTTTTAGGGTTTTATGGTGGCGCCTTGATCGGGTCATGGGCAGTAACCTGAGAATTGGAATTACGTGGCCTGCGAGTCTCAGGATGATGAGTATACTCTTAGTAGCTGAATGATTACACTTTAAAAGATGATGATCCCTTCTTGAACTGAAAAGTGTACACTTTTTTGTGCCTATGAACTCAGCAACTAAGTACTATCATCGTAAGAATGCGAAGAAGAAGACGGGACAAGTGCCGGGTGGGCTTAGGTTTCTGTTGGGCTTGGGCCCAGGCTTAGAGTTGAGTGTGGTTTTGGGGTCTCAGCCTCCGCATGTTGATGAGTTTTAGGAGGTTGGCTAGGGTTGGGCAAGCATGGCCGAAGACCATCGCGCACTGTAAGCTCTAACCCTAAACCTCAAAATCCATTGTCCCGAAGTGTGGAAGTCCAGCTGCCAGTATTGGGCCTCAGAGGTGAATGGCCCTGAGCTCGTGGTTCAGTACTCACGCTTTGGGGCTGAGGGTTTGGGATTCAGGGCTTCACGGTAGGCCTTTCTCGGAGAATGCTCCACATATTCAACACAGCAGTTTGCAACCCTCTACTTAAATCCCCAAAACACTCACCCTCAAGCCCTCACCCCCACAAAAACAAAACTTAAGCGTAAGACACCCAGTAAAGCCGACAGTATCAAAAGCCCCCATACGAACCTCATACCCATACGCCTGAGCCTGAATGCTGCGGTGCCGCTGCTCTGGTTCAAGTCGAGGCTCGCAACCCAAGCCCCAGATTCGAGCAGAATACGGGGGGATACCACCGAAAGCTTCTTCCTTCCATGATTCCAAGGTTTGACCCCAATGTCTTGACACAGAATCTCTAAGCCCTCTGGATCCAGTGCTGGATGCGCCCCTGAATCCCTAAACCTTCCAAAGGCAGGGCAGAAGCCATGAACCGGGGACTGGACCGCCCCACCCGCCAGGTCTGACCAGAGTGGTGTGCAATTCAGGGCAGAAGCAGCACGAAAGAGTTACTTCTACAACCAGTTTCTCAATACACCCCCAGTGGGGCTATTGCGTCTACGCAGATTAGAGCCTGCTGGAAGTCTCCATGCTTCGGCTAGCGGGGTACTGGGCTGGAGTGTGAGATGAGTTGGCTTTTCTTGGTTTCTGGCACTTTTTTCGATGAAATATGTTTCGGGTGGGCTTGTTGTGCGCCTCTTGATGAAGTCTGAATGGAATTTCTAGATGGTCCTGTCTTCAAAGCGAGAGAAACCTAATCCAGAAGGCTCAGGCTCTTACGCTGAAGCCGCGAGCAACTGCGAGATTTTAGGCCCTTTCCTGTTCATCTATCTCTTCGTGGAAATCCAGAGTTTACAGTAGCTCCCAACCTTTCATACTAGAGATCCATGAAGCCATGCTGCCAAGATGCCCAAGTCTCGGTAGAGGCGGGGTTGGGGAACTGGATGTTGGGAGTAATCATAGAAGTGTATGTTGGAGATGAACCCTAAACGAAACATCCATTAACAAACTGAATGTGGCCAGGGTTTTCCCTTTTCTGCTTTGCGTGTCGGTCGTTGCAAACTGTGGGGTTTCGCATGAACGGCCCTGAAACGGTAGGAAATTATTTCCGCGTTGAGTAGGCATACATCGTCCCAAACCCAAACAAAGGAGCTCATTTTGGCTTGGGGAGGTGCGAAAGCCACATCCAATTGGGCATCCATTTTCCGGGTAAAGGGATCGGTTTTGCAGTCTATGCAGCTCAGTTGCAAGGAGTTGAAGCGTTTAGAGTGCACGGCCTTAGGGTAATCTCGGGAATTAGGAGTCAGGAGAGCTCATGCAGAGGACTTGAACCACTGCCGGTGCTTGCAGGTCGGTGCTTTCCGGGACAGTACTGTCAATTCCCGGCTGCGTATATGCCCAACTATGGGGAAATAGATATAGAGGTCGGTATGAAAGCCACATCCTTTTTACATCCATGTTTCCCTACAGTCCTACAGCCCGGAAATTAACATCCCTTCCGGAACATCAATTTTGCATCCATTTTCGCAGGGAAAATGGATGTCAAATGGATGTTGGGCGGGGGGTCGGAAAGTGCAGGAACATCCAATTTACGTTCAAGTTATCTGGGAAAACGGATGCAAAATGGATGTTGGGTGGGGGTCCGGAAGTGGACGTCCATTGGACATCCATTTTCGGACAGCCCCAACAATGGATGCCCAATCCTGCGTCCATTTTGCATAAGAGGCGGGGGGGAGGAGGAAGCATACATAAGGACACTCTGGTCACGGCTCACAAGCCAGGCTTCCCATTCATCGTCGCTACCCGCTGCCAACTATCAGCTGTCTGTGGCTTAATGCCTCCTGAACAAATGGCTGCATAATCCATGTTCGCTAGCACCTCCTGAAAAATGGGTGCATTCTCCACGTTCGATTAACTCCTCATTTCTGATACTCCACTGAAATTGACGTTGGTTTCACACCTCCACTTTGCAGCCATTCTGCGATTTTCGCAGAGGCTGTTCTGTGGCTGAATGGGCCTCATGACCATGCTGTCTTCGCGATCAAATCTCGGCATAAATCCGTAATTCAAACAGAGAAATGTTGAGATGCTAAGCCCCAACTTCAGGCCAAAGCGATGACATCGGCCCAAGCCCGTACCTGGGAGAAGCCCAATGCCCACGGCAGCGCGTCTGAGCGGTTGAGCAGTCAGGGCGGTGGTCGTGGGTACGCCGTCCTCAGCTTTGTTGCATAAATCGCAGCATGAACTAGAGGATTGTTGGTTTGTGGTACTTGGGGTAAAGAGCAGAAAGCGGGGGAAAGGGAAGGTAAGCTGATGGCCCAGCAGCCCAACTCCCCAAGCCTGAAACCCCATCGCGTAGCACTAAAGACCCCAAACGGCCCCACGAGACTTGGACGCCGTTTAGAGTGTAGGGGTGAAGAAGACCTGAACCCAAATCCCAGACCCTGCGCTCCCCTTCCGTCGATCCGAGTCCACGACAAGTTGACGGCCTTTGAAGCCACCCGCCTGGTCGCAGATTGCACTGACTGGCAAGTGGTTATGGGCGCCTTGCAAAGGCACCTTGGCTGTGATCTGGGGCTGAGGATGCAAACGCTGACTAAGAAAAAGACAAGTTCCCAAGTTAGTGAGGAACACCAGCAGCCCTCAGATATTCTTATCACGAAAGGGAAGCATTTTCATCGCAACCCCACGGCCTGTGCAGGCTTCGTCTTCATTCCGTGGCCGTGGACGTCGTGTGCCTCACTGCGGCTTGCAAAGCGCTGCTGCAAGCCTTGCAGTGGCAGCGAACACTCTGCCTGTGGCTGTGCTTAAACGTCTATGGGGGCCTTAATAATGTCCCTATACTAGTTTGGGGGTTCCTGAATATATACTTATAGTATAATATACCCATACATCCTAAACCCTCGTCTAGGCGCCGACGACCCAAAGCTCTGGACACTTACTTAGACAAACTTAGAACCCTGAATCCTGAAGCCCGGCAAGACACCCCGATTCAGCCCTTTTGAACCTCCATCTAGATTCGACACAACCCCCAACTAAAGCAAAACATATGAGCAAACAGAGAAGGTTCCGCGGAGCTGCTGCGTTGGCCCTGGCAGCCAACGAGCGGACTTACGGCGTGGCGCTGGCGGCCTGCGCCGCTTCTCATGGGGGCTGGCAGGACTTTGGAGGGTTTAACGGGGTCGTGGCTCTCGCCCACGGCAAGGTATGCATGCTTATGTATGTGTATGTGTTAGCTGATAGCATGTGCACAGGCAGACAGTCAGGCCTTCTTGTGGAGAGATGTTCCATAGGTTGTTCTCCTCATCTTGCGAAAGGATGCGGCGCATCTGTTTGGGTGCATGCCAACTGTGCGCCTGGAGCAGAATTCCTTCCTGCAGTCCGCGGCTGTCACTGCCTTGGTGCCTGGGAGACAATAAGAGTGCACCAGTATAGGACGGCCCTACACCTAATAATCAGTCGGCTGAAACCCCTTTCTGGCAATGTTGCCGAACGGGCCAAGAGTCAGCGTGCTTTCGCTTCAGAGGACCCCCACCTGTCTAAGCTAAAGTTCTACTCCCCAAACCCAAAGCTCAAACTGGCAACCTGACACGGTAGCCTTAAACAGATAGCAACCCCATGGAGGATCCCCCCTTTCATGGGTCTATCCGCATGCGTCCGATGACAGGTTTTGTTGCAGAATCACCCGCAGCCACCACGACGACGACGACTAGTACTTACTGCTACGACTACTAGTTACCACTACTACCACCACCACTACCACCGTGGTCAGCGGCTGCCGTCGTGAATAAGAGATCGGTGGCCGTTGTTGGGGAAGATCTAGTGGAGTATGCCGAAGACCAACCATCGGAGAGCATCCATGCTGGGTAGTGGTAAAATCAAGCCCCAAACACCGGCCCAAGGATGCTGCGGTGCATGGCTGGTCGGCTGCGCTGTCATTGATCGTGCAAGTGGCAAGCCGCCTGGACTTACTGCTTTCGGGTTTTGAGTGTTTTAGGATTCAGCATTGGGGTTCAGGCCTTCCAGCCCCAATTCCATTCCTTGCAGTAGTACAATTATCCGGTGAAGTTGTCGGCGTGGCTGCTATAGGCCCTGAGCAGCAGGCCCCTGCTAAAGTTTAATCCCTTTTGCACCGGGATCTGCCAAATCCTTGCCATCGTCCAAAGCGGAGCTTTGTGATTTCTTTTGGCCGGTTTAGCTGCTTTGCTTGCTTTTCTCGGTTGTAGCGTTTCCTGGGCCTTGGAGTGCGTTGCTCCAGGCCGCGGCACCCGAAGCAACATTGTGGCAAGCAACGCGGTGTTCAGCACCTGTGGACAGCATTGGCCTGTGACGCTTTCGCTGCTGCCACTGTGCTTGAGTTATTTCTACAGTTGG